GGCTGTTTATTGATTAGTACCTATTGATAGGAGTGTCTTCTAACATCTGAAAACAAATCAATATCATCATCATTTCGATTTAATCCGCTATCGTAACGAAGCAGACGTTCATCGATCGATAAACTGATAAAGCGGTCGACTCGTAGCTTGATAAACTCGTCGATCGATAGACTGATAAGGCGGCTGATTTATAGATCAATAGGCGGCTCATCGATCGATCGATAATTGAACGGAGGTCACGCGGACACGCGTCGATTGACGACGATGCGCCCGCCCTGCTGCACAACACAAAGATATGATACACGTCGACGATCAATACCCTCCACATGACGACACAATTGTCGTCGTCGGGGCGGAAATCTCGTCCAAAGTGCGTCTACACACATTGTATACGCGTATATATATATGCATATACGTACGTATATATATATATATATATATGTATACGCGTCTATTTCTGTGTATACGTATGTACATATACACGTATATCATATATACAAATGTGATATATTGTGTATTTGTAATCATGCATTCGTCGCATAGACTACAATCAATAATTAATCAGATTCATGCGTAAGACACTGGCGTATCAAACCTCAGAAAGGCTTAAAACATTCTATCGACTATATTAGATTTTCAAAAGAGGTTTCAAATATAGTCGATTGATTGGTAGTCTTACATGCTTGGTAGCACACGCGTAAGCCATCAACTGAAAAGCAGCCTAGACCGCCAAGCCAAGTTATATTTCATTTTCGTACATAAGCCACTGGCTTACCATAGCTGTGAAAGGCTTGAGACATTCTTTCAGGCTATTTTGGACTTTAAGCGAGGTTCCAAACACAGTCGATTGATTGCTAATTTTAAATGCTTCGTAGCACACGCGTAAGCCATCGGCCGAAAATCAGTCTAGCCGCAACATCAAGTTATATTTCATTTTGTTTCCAGTGCTATACACTTATTTGGTGAGCATGTGGCTCCGATGAGGCGTGGAGAGCACCGAAACCTTCCTAGCCACTGGCTTACCATACCTTTGAAAGGTTTGAAACACTCTATGAGACTATGTTAAACCTATGTGCTTATGTATGTATATATGAAAACTTTCGTTTCGAGTATTTTCTCAAGACCACTGCTCAAATTTCAATATGCCTGGTAATAATTTTTTGAGCCACGCATGCCAGTGGTCTATCAAAGAGGGCTGACTTATTGACTATTTCAACCATTGATTGACTACTCATTGACTGACTATATTAACTTATGATACATGTAATACACTTATTTATACATATATGTGTATATATATGTATGTATGTATGTATGTACATATGTGTACGTATATAGACTTTATGAAACTGTATTCGCACATAGATTTGTTGCACACACTCCAACAAATAAATAATCATATTCACATCCTCAATACTTTGAAAACCAGACTTTTTCATGACTTCGTCATTGGCAATCAATAATGGTTTCTTCTGGGCGTGTGGCGCTGTGGTTGAAGGTGCCCTGCGACACACACATTGTTGATGGTTCGGACCGCGCCCAAGGCTCACCAAACTTCTCATGCTTTCGGTGCCGGCGAATTGGTAACAGATCTATCTTGGGGGATAGTAGCACTGACTTGACATATCGGTGGGTTATCGCAAGTCAGTGTAGAAGCCACATAATCATTCAGCTACGGCCAGCTTTTTCAAAAGCGCGTTATGTAGCATAGCAGATAGAGATCCGAACATTCAAATAATGAAAGACCCTGGTACAAAGAATTCGAAAAATATAGTTGCCATAAAACATCGCTTACTGTAAAGATCAAAACAGAAGTAATCCCCATACCAGTCGACATGTTGATCAGTATATACAGTACCAGAGTTGCTATCTCATTACAAGAAACTGACAACAAAAGAAAACCCTAGAAATAAATTTGTGAGTTCAAAAATGTGAGAAATGAGAACTGCACGTCTAGCTCGAGGCAGGCAAAATACGCAATCCAAAATCTCAAGAGAGAAAGCGTGAAGGGATAAGCTCTTAGGCGTGATGTCAAAATATTCCGAACTGCATAACGCCATAGCGTCCATGCACCTACTAAATGGTCGTAAAAATATAATTGACAAGAGCTGTAGCACGATTCTGTTATCCGAAAGCACTTTTGTACCTTTTGGGGATAAGGCCATTTACGCTTCTTTTAGTACCATTTTATATATGAAATCTCGACGCTTACTACTGTGCCCATTATCTGAAAAGGCCCATCAATTGGCTGGTACGAAAGGAATGACGGCTTTGGTTTTGTAGATTTTAATCATGACAATTAAAGCTTAAAAATCTTTGTCAATCATAGTAAGAACCACACAATAAACCCTTCTTTCAAACAGGAAATAACATTGTTTACTCCGTAGCATGGAAATTCGTGCCTAGGGATTTGATGAACTTTTGGAAATCTCTTCTGCCTCCTCATGAATGTGAGTTGTTTTCCTTGAAAGAAGCTATCTAGATGCTTGAGGAAATGGTACTCGGAAGGGGCGAGTTCCGAGGAATGTGGAGGACGAGGCAAAACTTTGTAGCTCAATTCGTTAGACTCGTTATATGACATGTGTTTGTCGATTGACTTTTGAAAATACTTGTTCCAAATGGTGAACGGAAGTAGACTGATAGACGTTGAGTTTCATACAGCATCTCGCGCTGTCTTGAGAGCGTTAGCTTCGATGACTACTTTTCTCATGACTCTGATGAGGTTGAAGAAAGGTAACAGCTCTTTATGCATCGTTGATGCGCCTCCTTTACAAAACTTCCTGAAAGCACGACCGCACCGTACGTTCGTTAGCACTTCCTGGGCGAAATGCGATGTTGATGTTGCGAGTTCTCTCTGCGGCTTTATGGTCCATTTTCACTCACGATGTAAAACCGCTACCACTTTTGCGCCAATTCACATCTATCCATAGTTTTAGTTTCGAGTGGTTTCTCAAGACCACGCTCAAATATCAGTACGCCAGATAGTCATTTTTTGAGCCAAGCATGTGGTCTGTTATCTAAGGACTGACTTATAGAGCCTGATGCACGTGTTTCAACCTTGACGGTCGTATGAGTCGGGTGGTAATCTTTTCGTCTTTAGCCAATCCCCTCAAGGCGCTCAGTCCCTGTACTAAGAGTAGGTGACGACGAACATTTTACACTGTAAATCCAGTGAAATTATCACTGAACAGACAGTATTGTACACTCGATTGCTCTTAGCTGGTATCGTTAATATATCATACTTTTGCCACCACTTTTGCACCAATTCACATCTATCCATAGTTTTAGTTTCGAGAGTTTTCATAAGACCACGCTCAAATTTCAATATGCCATATAATCTTTTTCTGGTGACTTTTAGGTCGAAATACGTATATCGGGCTTTATAAGCCAACCCTTAGATAACAGATCTTTCGATAGTCTAAAATAGGTTCAAAATAAACAGCAAGTGAAACATCGTTAACACCAAAACGTAGGGCAGAGAATGTGTATTGGAATGATATATAACATATTCACATTTATTTAAGAATTTATTCCGATATGGAACGGCAAATTTCAACAATGCATAAATCGCCATTTCTTTTGCACCAACATGATTGTACTCTGTAGCAGTAATATAATTGAGCTCGCACTCTGCACGAAATTTTGTCGGCTGCGATGTGTGAATGGCTGTGTGATAGGGGTTTTTGTAAAATTCACAACAAAAGAGACCTAGGCGACTAGGGTTTGTGAACATTTAACAGGACTTTAGTAGTTAATGAAAGCATGAATTTAGATAACTTTTAGCCTAACTTGGGTTATTGGAAATGTCTTAATAGAGCGCTGGAAGAGCGAAAAAAAGGATACACTCCACATTAAACTGAATAAATTTCTACATTATGGGGTATAATGTTCTGAATAAGGAGTGGCATTACACGTGATAATACGCACGTATTGGGCACTCAAATTTTATTCTCCTTGTTACAGCGCAGAGAAAAAGCATTTCCACAGAACAAGCCCAGAATTGAAAGCGCGGAAATTTGAGCTATCAGATGATCTTTGGGTGCCTGAGGAGAAGTGGAAGAAGCATTATCATCATCGGGTTCGAAAAAGTGCCCTGATATCAAGACACAAGTGAGATTATCAAAATGTACTGCCATCTAGCTGCTTCTCTATCGCAAAAATAGTAATAGAGCAAAGAGCAAGGGACTTCTGTGATGTCATAAATGGCACGTGACCCGCCTGTAAATGGGTGAAAAGCGGATACCGTCCGCTCTCGCACCAAGCGAATTTTTGATCTGAGCCGGGCACACTCTTCACCCATGTAGGGAGATGCGTGGCTGGTCCTCAGCAACAGCTGGAGCGCCGTGAAACAAATATTCGGTAAGTGTTTAGGAGAACCTACTTACTTTGCGATTAATCATTCTATAATTAGTTTATTAAGAGGGCCGGCGTGGCCGAGTGGTTGCGTGCGGGTACTGACGAGGGGGGCGAGACCTCCAAGTCACGTGGATGGCTGTAGCGTAGTAGCCTAGGTAAGGCTTTCAACATTCTTAGCAAGTATAGTAGTACATATTTAGCCCAACAAGTCGTTGCTGAACGCGGCAGTTTCTAATATGGTCTTGGGAGGGCTAAATGACAGTGGTTGATGATCTCTTTCAATCGCTAAAAATAATTCAACATTGTATCATATCGGTGTCTGAAGTCTTTATATGTCTCTTTCTGTTTAGGGACTGAATCTCTTTAGAATGCACTCTAATTCAATTTTTCCCCCAATTCATCCCTCCTGCTTTTACGCAGTTCAAAGTAAGATTGATAATGCCGCTGAGTAGAAAACTATTTTCTACCATTTATGCATCACGCTCCTTTGCTCGGTTTTCTTTCTAAATCTTTCCTTCCGAAACTCTGTTCAGCTTATTATATCAACGTAAACAAAACTCGTGAAATCTAGTGTTTTGCTGCTTTTTTCCGCAGTGTTATGATGTTTCAAACAACCTAAGACAACTGAGTGGAGAGCAGAAATACGTCCTTAGCGGGAGTCGAACCCGCGTTTCAACCATCTGGGGGACGCGTGCTATCACTACACCACCGAGGCACATCTGCACCACCACTCATTCTTCAATATCTCTGTGATAGCTATGAGCCACCAGCCTTCAACAGAATTTTGATAGTGAAGAATGAATGGTGATGCGAATGTACCCCTGTTCTGGTGTAGTGGTAGCACGCGTCCCCGGTATGGATGAGAACGCCGAGTACGACTCCCATCTGAGGTCGCATTTTTGCTCACCACTCAGTTCCCTTAGGTTTGCATGAAACATTATAACACAGCGGAAACAAGTAGTAAATCATCAGATTTCACGAGTATTACGTATTAAATGGCTTTCAGCTTAACTGGGTTTATAAAGCGAAATCGCATAAGTGACCAAACCTGCTCAGTGTTGGTGGCTGATAGCTATCATAGACATACTGAAGGATGAGTGATGCTGCGAATGCACCGAGGGTGGTGTAGTGGTAGCACACGTCCCGGCATGGATCATACGCGAGTTCGACTCCCGCTTGAGATTGTATTTTTGTTTTTATACCATATACTTACATAACCTTAACAATTCATTCATCTTTCTGAATATTATTAAACCATGGTGTAAGTAAGCTGTCTCAAAATGTGCCACTCTCAGACTGGCGACATGCTGCCGAGGGTGCACCATCCGATTGCTACAATGCGCTGCAATCACTCATGTCGCTGCACCTTATGCTTAACTGGTGAGCTATTGACTATCTGCGTTGTCTCCAGTGTGCTTCAGCCTCTTAGGGAAACGCATTTTTCGTCTTGTTTCAAAGTTACAGTAGTCATTCGATCACATGAATCATGGGACTTTTGATATTTTACTTCATTTCTGGAGATGAAGCCCTTATGCGCTGCGAAATCAAAATGAACTTTTGCTTCACACTCAAGCGTTTTTCACCCCGCGCAAAGTTTCTCTTTTAAATTTTCAGTAAGTGTTCGATAGCACGAATATCGTTCCTTTTATAGGTGGCTGAAATGATGGCGGAAAAAATGCTGCCCTTTTCAATTGATTCATGGAGACATGCCTGATGAGGAGTATAGAAATCTTGTCATTGAGGTACGTTTTTCATTCATCCAAGTGCTGTTAGTGATGGAGTCATCGTTTGGTGATTGTGAATACTTTTACTTTCATTTGTTGTGCTATTGCAATGTCAGGCATGTACGAAGGGTTATGGAGTAGGGCATCTAGTGAAATACGTTGCATGAGGGGCAAAGGTTGGAGTTTCCAATGTTATCGACTTCTTAATAAAACGTTGAATTTGTTCCTTGGATGATTAATAACGGCTTCAAGGTAAAGAAATCCATTGGCATGGAGACCAATGATCAATCTAACAACACGATTACCTTTATACGATCATACGTTTTGCTAGTATACATATATATATATATATATATATATATATATATATATACATATATATATAAATGCATATATTGATTTACACATCTTATACGCCGGGAAAACTCTGAAATGACATGTAATTTCCTTTTCGCTCCTACAGCACCTTGGAAAACCTTTTTGTGGGGAAAATATTTTGAAATTCCCATAATTTGTGCTATTAAATGGCTACTGAACTTCGAATGGAAGCCTATACTCTTACACAAACAGCGAAAAAAAAAACCCGAATGTCAAACATGATTTTGGGTACTTTTCTCTTTACTTTTCCACTCCGTTTGATCCCTTCGATAAATGCAAATTTTTGCGTTTATCTAAAGTGTAAGCGGTCATTCGATAGCCGAAATCACCTGAATTTGAGATATTCTTTCGACTGCTACAGCGTTCTAGAAAGTTTATTCTGAAAACCAGTCAAATTTTTGATATCGAAGAGATTTAGGCGATCGGATGGTTATTAAATATCTAGCGAAAAGACCTTGTTCGGAGAAAAATGTTTGATTTGAGTGGGAAATATATTTTTAGTTTTACTGTTAGAGCGCATTAAGAATGTCGTTTTGGTAATAAAGTATACCTCTAAAATTTTCAAGATTCTAGCTATCGAATGGATATTAAACTCTAGAATAAATCAAAAGGCGCGTTCTTCTTAAGATGTAAAACAGGATGCGGGCGTCAAAAACGATCCAAATTTGCGAAAGCTAATCTTTTTTTTTACTGTTACAGCGCTGTCAAGAGTTCTTCCCAAAAGCCAAGTACATTGTTGAAATTACTAAGACTTGCCCTGTACTGTCTTTTAGCTGCTTTCATATCGCAGAAATATAAAAGAGCAGAGGGCGGGGGCTTCGATGATATCTCGAATCCCATTAAACCTTCCATCACTCAGGGCGAAGACGCGAGGTTGATGATGTTTATTCTGCTAACGTTTCGACGTCCTCGTCATGTATGGAACATGTCTGCTGTTGATTCTAATCATAGGCTTTGAAGCAAATCTTATATCGACTACAACAGCAGAAATGTTTACATGGAAACAAATTGTTATCAGTCGACAAGCAGTATCGCATATCAACCGCCCCGTATCAAAGGAGATCGCAGAGTAAGGTTACTTCAATCGAGCGAGCTCCACTAAAGAGAACCTGACTCGGTCGACTAGGAAGACCACCTCACGACTACTGATGATTGCGGATGGACAATCGTCTCGAATCGTCGTCCCTGAAGTAGACGGAGACGTCGAAATCTGTGCCGAATAGACACCATTACATCCTCGGGTATGGTGGGATCTAGAAAAAATTTTTTGTGCCTTATTGTCTGCTACTCGTTGTGTCATCAATGACTATTAGGATTAATTCATGATCTCATCTATTACTTAAGTTGAGTGTTATTTACAACACAAATCACCATAATCAGCTATCATTTGTACTTCAATATGTCAGCTGTTGTTGTTTTCTGGTCTTCTGATTATGATGTGTCCCATTTCTCTTTTTGTAGCTCCATCATGCCACTGCTCCCTACATCCCAGTTTATTGCATGGGAGTCAAACGTGGGCAGTTGCATAGATAATGGATAGAGAACAACGAATGGCTCTTCAACTGCTGAAAGAAAGCAGTAAGTGTCACATCCATCTGTTTTGTCCCCATTCAACTGTTTTAAAAGCTTGTAGAGGTTAGAGAAGTCCAAATGAGCTTTGAAAATATGAATCGATTACAGGACACTTCGCAGGCAGCGTGGGCCCTATACTCCGCCGATTTTCCACTACCAGAGGCTCTTTGACATAATGGATTGGGGAAAATAGGACTCTATTCGCTAGTTACTAGTTATCATACCGACTGGTGCAAAGTATATTGTCGGCAGGAAAATGAACTACTATCGGTCGACAATCACTACGTGGAAACGACCATCTCGACCATCAGAACAGAGCAAACAACTGTGGACAATTGACTTAAATCATCGGCTCTGAAGAAGACGAAGACTTTGAGGCGTTAACCGAATAAAGATTATTTATCAAACGTGTATTAGCTGAAAACCTAGAAAACATAATGCGATCTGAAAGTTGCAAAACAAATCATTTTGGACACGTCTTTATAATATTAGTGAAATGTTGAAAGAATAAGATCTGTGAGTATGCAGTGTTCCGAAGTTGCACTTTGTGAATGTACATTATGGAATACGCACTTTCCAAACGCTTAACCTTTTCCCATCAGATATATTCGCTAATCTCAGGTATAAGATCTGACGACAAATGTAACTACTCAATCCCTTACTATCTGGTTCGAACAGGGTGTGCATAGATACCACCCTAGAAGGTCCTTCTTGTGAACTATTGATTACAGATCGTCTTTCCTCGGGCGGCACTCATCTTAACATTAGTGGTGTGAAAGCTATGCATCGAATACCGAAAATGTAGTGGAAAAGAAGTTTAATTTGCAAAATAAGCGATGAGTGGAAAGAAGATGATTAACGCATATATTTCTATTGCTCGTTATCCTTCCACGTCATTACTGCGATAATATTGCCGTCGCAAAAGTTAAAGAATGATCACGACTAGAAGTCCCCCTATCTGTTCAGTCATGCATGAACTTGTGTGATAATTGTTGTTCTGACACTGTATCTTGAGCCTTCCTTGTGTAAGGCACGTATACAGTGCAAGAAACGTGCTTGGGCCTTTCAGCCTCAGCGGTTGCATGCGCTTTTCGGTTCAGTTACTTACTCGGGGATCAACCTCTAAGAAGAGGAAATGACGACGAAGTTTTTCATTCGACGTACGGCAAAGCAATCGCTATGGCGCTCTCTTCTTGTAATTGTCGATTGCATGGTGTATGGCTATTACGTGGACATCTGTAACATGCAAACCTCGAAAAGAACGCTACGGTGATTGTTTCGCCGCACGTCGAGTGTAAAAAGTTCGTTGTCGATTCCTTTGCCTAAGTGCAAATCACCGAGGAACTTAATGAACGAAAAGGCCTCATCCAACTTGCGAGGCTAAAAAGCCGAAGTACGTGTCTTGCACTGTATAAGTGTTCATAGCAGACCTCATGAGAAGCCAAAATACATTGTCAGACTATATTTTTCTTGAGCGTGGTCTCAAACAGTCGAGTGCAATATTTGTTGAATTGTTGTTGGACTTGGTGTATACCTCAGATCATTAATACCCTGCTCATTTCAATAAGAGTTTAGGATAATACTGCTACAACTGTCATGCCATTATCTGTTTTAATTGAGCTACTGTTAGATCTCCTTTTGCCAAAGAACGCCTTGTTCAAGGGATGCCTGCTCCGCATTGATTACAGGTGTTTCATCCCACCCGTGGTAGGCGAACTGGTACCAGAGTTGCCTAGAGCACTAGTGGCAGTGACTTATTACTTCGATACTCCACTATAAGCTGTTGTTGTAGCAGAATCGGCATTCATTGGCCTCTTTAAACGATGCTTAATCAATTCGAAGGCATGACGCTTTTCTAAAGAATTGGTCAACGCTAGGAGCTTTATACTTTTATCTTTATACAGCTCAACTGGGTTAATAAAGCGAAATCGCATACCCGACCAAACATTTCAAAGATTGGTGGCTGATAGCTAACATTGAGATGTTGAAGAATGAGTGGTCGGGCAAATGTGCCTCAGTGGTGTGGTGGTAGAGCACGCGT